TTTTTTTTTTCTTTATAATTGGTTTTTTTCTGGTCTAGCAGAAATGCGACGATTCATTCCGCTTACTTCCAATGCAATCAAATAAAACAGAAAATGAAACACAGAAACATACAAACAGAACACAAAAATAAAACCCAATTATAATTGCATTGGCTTTTAGACCAGTTTTGCCGCATGCATAATTGCACACGGCAAAGACTGAAGCAATTGCAATTAATTCGCTTCGTTCCGAACGCATTTTCATTTTTCATCGTTTAAAACATTGGTTTTCTCTTCATTTTGAGTCTCAATTAAAAATTTTAAACGCCCATTAATTGTTTCGTATTATCAGTGTTCACGCACTTTGAAGTTTTGAATGCGTCTTCGACCGTATATAGAAACAGCGATCAACTCCAGCGAACAGTAATAAAAAAAATTATGCTTTAATGAGTGAGTGGATAGTAATTCGACGTAAGAATGTGTTCCGCTGTGAGGGAAAAAAAAGAACCAATTTTTAACACAAACAAAAAAGAATAAGAAAAGCAAAAGCGACTGAAAGAAGAGAAATAAACCAAAAACAGAACTGTGGACGTGCATTTCGCCTAGTTTTACTTTCAAAAGTAAAACATTTAAGTTCAGGCTTCTGTCGAATGAAATTTAAAACTTTGTAATGAATACATTGCATAGATCAAAATGCACATGAAAGGTTAACCTTCAATTAGCCCATTTTCGCACGCCCGCAAACATTCAAGCATTATTATTATCGTTCGTTGTCTTACACTCGATTTGTTGCAGTCATTCAATTCCACATGGTCGACTGCCTTCTATCTTTCTTGATCGCTCTCTCTCTCTCTCTCTCTCTCTCTCTCTCACACACACACTCAATCCACATAAAATAATTTCTGAACGGCGCTAAAATCTTCACAAACGTCTCCCAGTTTGTTCGCTGTTTTTGTTGCTCATTTGTGGTGTCAGATTCACTGAATGCATTTTACCATGTCGAAGAATATATCGATTTTTTCGTGCACCATTCTTATTCAACTTGTTGAAAATCTTCGGTCTTTTGTTACATGAAATTCGGTTGGAATACCTTTAAAGTTCGGTATGTTTGGTGGTGACGCTTCGCATATGGATTCATGTTACATTCAACTCGGTTGCGCTTTTTTTGCTTCTCTCGTACAAATATAATGTGTCGTGTCAAAACCGACTTAATTTTTACCACGCAGTTGTGCATTTCGATGGGATACAATCAACCTTTGATTTCGAACGATGTTATTAATTTTCTGTTTCGCACTACGTTCGTGTTTCGCGAGCGATGCTGATTTCCGAGTGCCAGCACCGTTGTTTATTGACGTTGCACATTCTATTGCACAATATAGCTGCGCTCATAAATAATGCCGGTTGTTTGCCAGGAAATCAGTTTTGATTCAAACGGCATTTTATCAAATTATTGATTCGCCCAGATAGCTTCGTTTGCATTTTACAAACTTTACAAGGAAGGCAGAAAAATCTTCCATTCGATTTGAGATTGTGTGTACATCAAAAAGGTCAAATTGGCTGAAAGGTGATTCGCAGTTGCATGCTTTTGCTAAATCAATTATACGATAGACTTGGAATTTGGCTTTTGAAATTGCTTAGAGAAGCCAATCAACTATCGTATATTTTAAAATTTGAATATAAATTATGATGATGAGTCGAACAACTTAGGTAACTTAAAACGATTTGAGATTGTGTAATCACTTCGAGTTCCCATCATTTTGCAAAATGCTAACGGGAAAAGTCAGTGTGCTTTAAACATTACAAGGATCTATCATTGGATTGATTTATTAGTGGTGAATTTCATGAGACCCATTTCATAAGTTCAACGAATCGATGTGAAATTCACAAACATTTTAACCATTCAGAAAATAAACTTGAAACATATTTATTTCGCTACTGGTCAATGTGAAACTCAAACAGAAATGGAAAAGTTTACAAAAGACAAACCGGAAAGGTTTCGAAATGGTTTGACCATTTTTTTTGTGTGTCATATGAATGCTACATCTGAATCAAATCGGAGCAAATTTTTCGTCCTTTTGAATGTGGAGTCGATGACTGTTATTTAACCGTTTGAAAGTGAACGAGGGAGAAAATGCAGAGAATCAATTTCCTTTTTAGTTTCCGCTTTATTGGGTTTGCCCGCTAAACGACATGTGCATTTTTTGGTCTTGAATGAGAAGAACGATTGCATAGATGCTGAAGTGGTTAAAGTAGTGGCACAAAGGCATTAGAAATGCTTTCGCCTCTTGAAGTGGAGTGGAATTTTTTTTTCTCTCCTTCTTTTCAAGAATTGATGAGCACAGCGAAAAATCATCGAACGTAAAAGGCAATAACACCGAAAGCAGTGCTGTGAATTCAATTGAATATGTTCCGTTACAAACAAGTATTGTCGCGCAAATAGAGCTGCAAGTAGCGTATAGCAAGTATATCATACGTTTGTAATGCTTTGCAACGCTTGGCGTGTGCTGATCACATACATGCATGAATTAAAATCAATTGTATGTGTGTGAAAGAGAGTTTTGAGATGCAATTTAATGTTTATTTAAGGGCTTGAGTTTTTGATTCCAAGACTTTTACGTGTCACTAGAACGTATACAATTCACATCTTTACTTTGAGATGTTAAAATCTTGCGAATGCACTTGTCGTGTGCTCATTAAATGAATGCAAGTGCTTTCGAGTCATTTAAAATAGCTGCCTTTGGTAATTGATTGGGCTTGTTTCATTGGTTTTGAATATTTCATTTATTGTGTTATGGCTGAAATAAATGTCACCACTTTTAACACATTCCCTCGCCTCCTTTGCCTCTCTCTCTCTCTCTCTCTCTCCCTCTCTCTCTCTTTCTCTCGCTAAAAATCTGCTAATAAGTTGCGCAAACATTTAATTGTTAATGCTGTCGTACTTGTGGTTCGAACGCTCTGTACCCTTTTGTCATTGTGGTTTTTCGAACAAGCGACAAGATTTATTTCACAGTTTTTTTTAGCGACGTGCTGGAATGCTCTGCCATTTAAGCTTGTTGTAATATCATTAACCGTAGGTAATATTTGCTGTTTGATTTATCGTCACCAATCTAGCTACAATTCCCAATAGTACAAATGTCTGTGTTGTCTGTTGCACAAACGATAAAATATGCGAGAAGAAACGAAAAAAAAATCGACGACGATGACAACGACAACAAAGGCGAATCAGAGTTGGAAAGGATTTTTTTTCTTGTCTACAAAAGGTTTCATTGTCATTAAAAACGAAGAATTTACTCTGCATGCACTATATCATTCGTGCTAAACGTTCACTTATGCGCATTCACTATTTCGATTTGAAATAAATTACATGCTGCTCCGATCAATTCAAGATACGACTTTCCATTTTATTTTTTGCTCTCTCCCTCTCTCTCTCCCTCCATCTTTTGAATCGACTTTCATACGAAGAGCAAAAAAAAGTGAAGAATCAAACAATCACCTGCCTTCTATTTTCTCTATGACTGAGTTTATTTTGCAATTGCTCGAGCACTTGACATTTAACTTTTTGTATGCACTCGACTCGATGCGCACACATCAATTGATACGATGCCATGCAACGAATAACGACCTGCAGAATCGAAGATGACATAAAACGATAAATGGCTACGAATCACGGGAAAAAGCAGAAAAGACACATTTAAATGAATTCATGTAGCTTTTGTCAACTCGTTCTTCTCCAATAGATTGCGATATGTTATGGTGTTGCTGTTTTTCTGCTGCCTTCTTCGTCCGTCTTGTATGTGCCGAGACGATGTCACGACTCAGACTTCTTTTCCACAAAATCGGAGAATCTGTACAAGCATCGCGCTGCATACACGTTTTGCACCTTTTCCAGCAAAACTTGAGCGAAAAATTCGTCGTTCTCTTTTTTTTCGACAACTTTAGTTGTCAACTCGTTCAGTTTTTTTTCAATGAAGTTTTCATTCTTTTTTTCAATTAAACGGTTACAACTTTTTGTTTTACCAAATCCGTGGATGCGCCAAGCAATAGCTACTGTTGGTTCGAATAAAGCTGATCAGCAGATCGCGTTTATGAAATGGAACCTATAAACGATGGCTATTCAATATAATGAATGCTTGAAGCAATGACAACAACAAAAGTAACAGCAACAAAAATTAAAATTTGAAATGAGTTGAGTGCGCTCCGAGTCAAAATTACGTTCATAAAATGCTCTATAAATTTTATGGACGCGTGTGCAAGTATCGTCATAATCGTTGTTTGCTGTTGTGCAAAGAACGAAATTGATTTCGATTAACGTGATAAAAGGCATAAAATGCTGGCTTTTGCCTCACTTAAGCACAAATCGATGTCACTGTTGCTGACAAAATTGAAAGACGAGAGAGAAAAAACGGCAACAACATCGTCCGTACGATGCATGTTTTTGTGCCATTTATAATGTTGCTTTTAACGCTATTTTTATGAAGTAATTTCATTATGTTTTAACGTCTTTTCCAAGAATCAAAACACAAGCAATACAATTCACTGATAACGGCCTTCAAGCTCGTTTTCTCATCTTCCGCTTAGAATATTCATTTAAACTGATTCAATCAGTCAATTCATCCTCGCGAAGAGACATATTAAAATTGATGCTTATCTTTTGCCATCTATCATCGCAAAACGATCAAGCGCAATTGCTATTCCATTCCGCTCTGCCATCAGCCCCACGCATAAAATTTGAAATTCCACATCGAGCAAAGTTTGTTTAATCCAATATTCCCCCACTGTTGTAGTTCTTTTCACTTGTAGTAATCAAATTGAAATACCACAAAAATGAATGACCGCATAACGATTCAATGGTTGACGTCAAAAGCGATATATGTTTTGTTGTGGTTTTACTTGTGAAATGAACAGTGAACACATTGAATGTGGTGGCTTGTGTGACGGGCGATTTGTAGATTATGCGTTTCATCCGAATTTCATTATCGAATTAAATAATTATTTTCCCCATTTTTTTTTCTTTCTTTCAGACTTGCATTAAGCTGGGCCAGATAAGTGGAGGACAAAAAAGTCAATCGACACCAGTACACCGACATAGATCGACAAAAAATGAAATTGAGGAGAACATCGTAGATCAAAGCATCCAATCAACGTTAATTGCCCCACTGTAAAACGAACCTTATGATGAGACCAATTCGTCCAGACATAACAAAGTAGACACACATACACGCTCACTGTTTTTTTTTTGTTTCTACGTCAAATTATTCTATTAGGCAACGAAGGAACGGCGACTGAGTTCATTTATCCGAACGCAGAAATGATTCACCGATTCGAAATTTTCACATCGCATTGCGCGTAGCTCGTCTCGTCATCAACTTGTGTTCTTCATTATTCTTTTTTTCGTTTGGCTTATCGAAGGTGTCTACATCAAATTAGAATCAAATACGTGAAACACGAAAATACAAACGAACTCAAACCCAAAAAGAAAATTGACGGCATCTACCGATAATTAGGTTGTTCGTGAATTTTCGTTCAAAACAAACCGTTCTCATCGTGAGCCAGTAAAATATTTCAAGAGGAAAAAGAAACACAAACGAGCTAACGCGAAATAATTAAGTGGTGTTCGCGGGCTTGGGCGGACTGCACGTCATATCATTCTGATGAGAGCAACTCATCAACGAAATGAACAGTTAGCAAAAGAGTAACGAATCTAGTGAAGTGAAGCTAATTTTTTACGTAAACTTCGATACAAGAAGAAGGGAAGTGGATGAATAAAAAAAACTTCTTTCGAAGCAGAGAGAGAGAGACAGAGAAAAAAAAACATGTGATAAATTAATCAACTGAGCGGTTAATCAGATAGTAGATAAAAAAGAGTTTCTATTCCATTTGCAACTTCACATCTTAATGTAAATTATTTTTCTTCTTCACTCATCGAGACAGACAACCAAGAATCGGAATTATTTTCTATCTTATCGCTGTATTGTTCGAATTTCTATTGTGATACATTCGTTAATCGATTCCGAATTGGAAATGTTCTTGAAGCGACCGAATAAACATTTTTCGTGATGGAACATTTTGTTTGCAAATGATGTTTGAAGTTGTGAAAAAAATTGATCATCGATTTGAAATTCAACTAAAGCAATTCGTGACACACAACTCTATCTCGATGAAAGTGCTAACATTTTGACCACAAAATGACTCAATAAGTACGGTAAAAAAAGTTAGTAAGTGTGTGAAGACATTTAGAACGACGTGCTGAAGCATTTAATACGCAACATTTGCGTTTGTGCTGATTTTGATTGATAGATATCGACAGTGAGTAGACGGTAAAGCGCAGTGCTGTGTCGGTCCTTAAAAGCAAATTTCAAATAAAGTTAGCAAAAGTCGTTTCGTTTCCAAAATAAAATGACAAGTGATGTTGTTCGATGGTCACAGTTGTCTACACAACACAGTCAACAACGTGACGTCATGACATCCGACGTGAATATGCGTCAAATCGAAAAGGACGCCGCCACACAGCATGGGCATAGCAGCAACATACGCAGGTCGTTGATTGCCGGAACAATTGGAACACATCTACACAAGACCGTTCTGTTGTTCGTTTGGCTAGTGATAAATCAAAATGTGAGCTTAGTATTAAGTGACCCGATTCTAGCAACAAGTAATTTAACAATAGCCGCTAAGAATATTGCTGGTGATGAGCTAATCCATCCGCCAATTGATGATGCTGTGGTGGCTGCCGAATCACCATCATCTGCGAATGATCTCCCGAGCCAATACCATTCACACCAAATTATCGGCGACGATGACATTTCCAACGACCGACACTACACATCAACATGGGCCGTTCATATTCCAGGCGGTGACCATGTGGCTGAACGCGTTGCACGCGACCTTGGTTTTACGAATTTAGGAAAGGTGAGTCGATGTTATTAAATTTTTATGTTTTTTTCTCTTCTAAATTCAATGCTGCTTTGTCAAGATTTCGAGAAAAATGTGAATGAAAATTTAAATTGAAAATAAAACACCGAATGGGAGAAATAAGACGCTTATTGCTTCAAAGAAAACTGATCGTCTTTTCAAATTGGATTCCGCGAAATTCATTCCTACTCAGAATTAAAAATGATACAAGTTCTGTGAATTTTATTTATTTCTTTTTTACATCAAATTATTTGCAATTGTTACATGATATAGAATTTCATTTGTAACAACCTTATTTTTATACTCTAACGATAATAATAGTTTCCTGCTTATAACGATTTCCTTTTTCAGAAATGCTCATTCATGATTCAGTACGTTTCTATAAAAGTAATAAGCATTTTCCTTATTCTCTCAGTGGATTTCTTTATAAAGAGAATGATTGTTATTACAACAGCCGCGGTACGTTGCTGTAGCTTGGCTTGTCAGTCATGCATTTATTAGAGCATACCAGACGACTAGCATTTCGTATTCATTTCCAAGTGATTTCTGTACATTACTTTTGGTGATGGGCGCTACGTATGTAATACGCATGTATTCTCTAAATGCATACACTGTGATAAAAGTGACGGTTTTTCTTTTCGCTGTGGTGTTTTGTGCTGTTCATCCATTTCGTTGATTTGATTGAAATGGGAAACGGATCAGTGTGGAAGTCGTTCGTCGTAGATTTCCGTTATCAATCTGAACCGTAATTCTGTTTGACGTGCGCATTAGTGAGGCATTGATACAAACATCTGAATCGAGTTTAAATGTTTTGCAGCTGATGTGGAATCCAAAACATCAACTGTTTGGTTTTGTGACAACCAAACCGATATTCTCAAAGGAATACAAATCGACCGAATTTACAAGAGATACATTTTAGGCAACAACAAAAAAAACCATAACAACACTAAACAGACAAACGAACGAATGATTCCATGACAAACACTTTTCACATGTTTGTTCACTCTGTTATAATTCAACGGTTGTGCGACTCGAAACGCCTGAGTAAATCACACCTCAATCTCTCATGCCATATGAAACACAGTCTTGAGAGAGTCTGTGGCTGCGTGTTGTGATTAATGGAAATGGCTTTTCACAATTTAATCATTCACCCAGTTAACGCAATTTCATAGAAAAAAGTCAACGTCACACCATTTGTCACATCGGTTGGGTTTTCGGTTCATTTTCAGTAATGTTCACATTTTTTTTTTCTCTTCTGAATAAATGTGCCTCGCACCGTTAAAATCACACAATCGAAAAATAAAGCAAAGTTTTTCCTTGGTCTAAATTTTATGTGTCCGTTCGCTGACGCCATTTCTAAAAACAATCTAGAGAGATCAAAGGAAATCGCCTTTGTCTTACAAATGGTGACATCAAGAGCATAATAATTGACGCCCACCATTTTTTTTCTCTCTTCTTTCGTTTGTACAATTTTCATCATAATTTTGTGCGAGTTGAAATGAGCGAATGTCACGCAAAAAACAGCTCGAATTCGTGGAAAATGGTCACCAAAAAAAAGAAAATTAATAGAAAAAAGTCCGTTTTAATTTTGTAAGATGGAAATTATTTACTTTGACGTTTAATTTGTCTAGTGATTGTGAAAATTATACAGCAACTGACACTAAAATGAGTTTCATTCATTTCCGTTTTAAATTACATCGCTTCACTTCACAGTTTGCCGGAAAATCTTTGCATCCAATTATCAAATTAAAACATTTGAGCCGTTTGCTCAATGACAATGCGCTGACAAAAAGAAAAGTGAGTGCATCCAACTATTTGCATCAAACGCTGGAAATTTTCAAGACTGCATCAACAATTTTCGTTTGTTTACAAAGAATGAAAAAAAGCAAAACGGTTTGTTTATCTTCATCTTTCTTTCCATCAACATAGTCGATTCGACAAGCAGTTGATGCTGTTGCAGAGAGAGAGAGAGAGAGAGAGAGAGAGAGAGCGATGAAACGCCAACATCACGATAGTCTACATTTTATTCGTGTGTTTGCTTGTGCAATGCAACAAAAATATTTCGTGTGTCGTATGCATGATGCAAAGATGAATGTGATTTTTCGTGTGATTTCTCTTTTCGACGAATTACTTTCTCACTTCTGTGGTATGGTGCGCACCAGTTCATTATATAGCCCATTACTCTAATTTATAGTCGCGATGAATTTAACACAACCACATATAGCACACAAACACACACACACATATACAGGCATTCAATTCCACTTCTTCTTCCACTTCCATCAACTACTTTCCCAAACAAACTGAGAGCTGTTTTATGTTGGCTGCATTTTTCAAGTCAACACACACTCATTTTTGAACGATTCAGAACAACGTCGTAAACGGGCTAGTGTTTGTGAGTACATTCGAATTGCATTGCATATTATTAGAATATAAATATATGCTTACAGTTGAGCTCAAGATTTGAAACTTGTAAAAGATGTTTGTAATTTCTTACGCCCGGAGAAAACAGCGGAAATACGTTTGTTTGCATTTGAGAGTGAATGTTGATTTGCAGCAAGAATGACAACAAGACGAACACGTGTTCGTTGCACAGCGAAAACATGCCAAATATTCCCAGTGCGCTTACACACAATCACACTCATACATAGACAAAATTATTCAATTCTCACTGAAGAGTGCTTCCCTTCCCTTGCCTCACGCTTTTACTATTCTTGTTCGAAAATGAAAGGCTCACAACAAGCCGAGCAACAGCAGTATCAGTAGTAGTAGCGTTGCTCTGCAAATTTTAATTTGTATGCATTAAATGTTTGAGTCTGGATCTTGACAGGTTCGGGTGTATACACCAAAAAATACAACAAAATGTGAATTAAACATAAAATTTATTCTGGCGCATGGAAATCCAAACACTTCATCTTGAACAAGCGTTTGACGATGTGCAGCAACGGTAAAATTTGCAAACACTGCACACTGAGTTTGCGAAGAATAATGCAAAAGGAATGCGAGAACCGAGAAGAAGAAGAAAATTGTGCGGAAAAGAAAATGGCATATTTACAAACTATTTGAGCGAACGACGGGATTTTGTGAAAAGAAACTTTTGCATTTCAAACAGAGTTTGTTCAGAAGAAGTGTGAAACAGAAAAGCGAACGACGAGAATTTTTTGAATCTCATGGTTGACATAGCGTACGGTTTCATTAGAAAATCCAAGTTGCTTGTCGCTATCAACGACGCTGCTGCTTGCTTTTTTTTCCCTTCAGCAGATTTGATTTCGAAAATCGGACGTTTAAGCTGTTTACTGATTTTATGCCAAACTGATTGACGGTAGCCAAATTTAAACTAATATTTTTTTGTCGGCGACTGCGAAATGTGTGTGACAGGATTTTCATCGAAATAAATGAATTTCGATTGCAGAAATTCGTATACAGAAACCGATATTCAATGCAATAATGATAAAAGCCAGGCGACAAAAAGGAAAAAGGCGTTGATTGTTTTTTGGCTGAGTGCCAACCGTGAAATGGCGAACGAACCGTACGACAGCAGGTTTATGGGTGCATATAATGCTATACATACAAATTGTTTCCACTCGTCAACGCCAGCAGCGACAAGACGCAAATTTGCTTCTTCCCGTCTTGCTCTTACTCCCTCGAGCATTTCCATACAATTCAAATGGCATAAAACATGCACTCGTGCAATTAAGACCGATACAACCCGTGAAAAGAAGACATTAAAATATATGTAAATGTTTGCTGTTTCCGCAATATATTTTATCGTAGTTTAAACATTATTTAATTTTTGGGCGAATAGATAAGAGTTGAAAATACCTCAAGTTTGTGCACAATTACGCCAGAAAACAAACACATCATTAGCGCACAACGCGATCCGCTCTCTCTCACTCTTTTCTCTGCTCAAAACGACTCGGTTTTGTTGAAATACCATCGAGTCTTGTTCTGCATTTACGACCATCTAAATCGACATCAAATCATTCTGAACCGTCGTTTATTTCTCGTTTTCTAAACAAATAATAAAATGCACTTAATTACATGTACGCCGCTTATATCCGATGTGCAGCCAGCACATGCACGATCTCGATGACTCTCTCTCTCTCTCAATCTCGTGCTCAAATGTTGTTGAAAATCCATGTCTTCTTCATCTGCTGTAACATCTTGTAATTCTTATTTATGTATGTATGTTGTGTGTATATGTTTTATTCTCCTACCTTGTTCTGTGTTTTGTTTTTGGTGGCTTTATGTTCGCAGTTTGCATATCTGTCGGTCGATCTTTTAATTATCTCCACCGTACATACAAACCATAAAACTATTCGAGGCGCTCTTCTGTGCCTCGTCTTTTAGGGGGAAACATTCTCATTTCACAATTCGGTTAACAAGTTGAAAAAATGTTCATCTCCTTATCTTTTCTAACTTTTTTTCCATGTTCGCTGCCTTTTTTGTTGCTTGCTTTGTTTGTTCTTAGTTGGAATTACAGCAAACTTCTTCCTTTGGTTTTCAACATCAAACCGAATTCATTTCACAGAAGATTCACATTCAGCTGTGTATTTTTTTTTTCATGCGCGATGTTTATGTTCATTTTATGCGGCCTTTCGCACTGAATGTACGAATATAAATATTTCACTTTGAACATTTCTGTTTACGAGTGTCGTGTCATCGTGTGCAGGCGGTAGGTAATTTTCCAAGGCAATATCTCGGTAATGAGAATTTTCATTTTAGATCCATCGTTCGATCTTAACCATCAAGACAAAAGCGAAAGGATGCTTCAGTTAGAGAGATTGTCAATTATTTATGTGGTAAATTTTAATTAAATTAATACCGATTTGATTTTAATGTATGCTAATTGCACCGAAATGCAGCCAAGTGAAAATTTCAATCAGAACAAACCACTAAACTGGCCACAAATTGCCCAGCAACATACAACATGGTGTGAATAACACGCAAATGTGGAATACGTATGAAAAAAATGTGTCGAGTAATATATGGCAACA